CTCGGAAGCACGCCACGAAGCTTGCCCAAAACTCCGCTGAGGGGGCTGATTTTGCTCGCTGCCTGCCCGGTGTTCTTCTCGGTGGTCGGGGACGGTAACACCTGGATGGTAGCGTACAGGTTCTTATCCTGTCCGTTGATTACCTCCATCTTGGAGGTGCCCACCGTCGCGGACATGAGAACCGAGCCTGCAGCTGGGAGATCGGTCTTTCTGGTCTCGTTTTTCTTGCTCGTCTGATCGGAATCTATCGCGTGCTCGTCGTCCGAGCCTGGCGGCGTGATCACGCACATGGACGGTATGCGGCTGGTATTGATAGCCGTTTTAGAGCGAATTCTCTCGATCCTCTCGCATCCCTCCAGGTCACTCGACTCGGAGTACTCGAATTCCGAGCAGGATCTGCCTGTGCAGGCGGGACTCGACGCTGACTCCACCGGGGACGAGGACGTGTTGTGCCCGCTGTCCGGAGACTCGCCGCCATTTTGATTCGGTCCGTGCACCTGTTGACGAAATACTACTTTAGAAGGACTTCATTTATAAACTTAATTTAACGCGCTGTGATGAAGGGACTAGGGTGCATTACTGATGGTAAGTACTGATCATAGATAAAGTGTTACCATTGCAACAACGGTAAGGCTAGATTTCCTCTCAGGCGGCGGTGGTGCCATCAGGGCGGTGCAAACTGTACCCGCCGAGCTGGTGGTGGTCGATGTCGAGCCTCGGCCAAACAGTTCGTACTCGTTCTCGACGATCGGTGAGGTAGGATCTGAGCTGACGTCATTGGACTTGGTCAAAGGACTCTGCGGAACTGGATCCTCCTCCCTCAACGTCTTGAGCCCGGAGTCCACGTGGAACGAGGTGTAATAACCTTCCGTATCGCAGGAATATACGGACGATGTCTCACCGTCGTCCGAGAAGGGTACGACCGTGATATCTTGGATGATGTCTGGGGTCAATGTACCTTCTGACGTTACGGAGGACGAGGTGGATGTATCTCGTCTCTTGAATCGTCTCACGTGACTCAACGAGGTTGAGGACGTACCGATCGATGTAGTGGTTGTGGATCTACGTATGATAACACAGTTAAACAAATATTGCTAGAATATATAATAAACCTTGCAATCAAAATTTTACCTGGGTTGATGAGTCGTGGTGGTGGTCTCGCTGCCGATACTGGCTCTCCCGCTCTCCGAGGACGCACTCCAGTTTCCAGAACTGGAATGAGGAGGCTCGTCCCTGCTGCTTCCCTTTCGTCTTTCTCTCCTTTGGGCCGCGCTTTCGCGCAATTTCACGCTCGGCTGTCTTTCCGTGCTCGGGACAGATACCGGTATGCTGGAGGTGCTCTTCCCGCTCGAACTGGACGAGCTAGGCTTCCTTTCGTGCGACTTGTCCTTCCTGCGCCTGGGTGTTACCCTTTCATAAATATTTGTTTCTTCCGCTGTTCGCGACTGACCTTGATCCTGTTCTGACCTCTCTGTACTCGAACCCGTCGTGTCCTGCTGCTCCTGTTGCTGGCTGGACCTGGGACTGATCAGTTTCAGTCGGGACATACCCCACGCCTTCAGCGTGTTGAAGTGCGATTTCTTTTCGATCGGTGACTCCTTCTTGGAAGAACCCAGAATGTCGGTGCTGGCCGAACGATGGGCTCGCGTGGCTATGGTGGACAGTGACTCTTCAGCTTCTTCTCCGATCGTTTCGCTGGAAGGGAAAAGTCATTCTTCTAGAAAAAGGTCTGGCTTCACATTGTAGACTCATTTATGGGCTTTTGAGTGAGTCAGCATCTGCTAGCTTCAAGGATGGAGGATCTTTTCGGATGTTTGATGGTTTTTGGATTGGTACTAGGTGGACTTACCCTCCAATGGCCTGTCGAATTTCCTTCTGATCAGTTCCAGCAATCGTGTTCCGTCTTTTCCCCCTAGGCCTCCGGGGTCGTGACCGCCTTTTCACAGCTGCCTCCTGACTTTCCGGTCCAGACAGCAAGGACCTTCTTCTCATGGACATTCGCTCGAACCCTCGTCCGCTGACGTCCACCGCCACAATTTCCGCAGGAAATCTAAGGTATAAGTCACATTTATCAGATGAATTATAAGGCGGAAGGTGGATGGACATCAAGGTAGTGTTTCTAAATCTTGTTGACATTGGAAGCTGTGGAGCAGAGTGAACGTGTGGACGATGGCGGCACTTATGATGTACCTATCAATACTGAAGGTACATAGGCACTTATGGATGTTCAAGACACCTATGGGTTTCACTGAAGACATCTTCAAATACTCAGAACGTTTTTGGTCACTCAAAGTACCTATGGTCCTCGAAGAAATTATGGGTGTTCAACGGACTTATGGTTAGTTAAGGTGCCTTATGGGCAGCCATAGATGTTGTAGACACCCATGAACATCCAGGATGCTCATAGATGTCCGAAATACCCATAGGTGTTCAAGGTGTTAAGGACTATCGAAGGACACGAGGGCATTGAAGGCTATCAATGGGAATTCGAGGCACTCATAGGTCCCGAAGGTACTTATAGGGAATCTAGACATAGTTTATGTGTGTACATAAGTGGAACAGCCATAGATGCCCCAGGTGCTTATAGAGAACTGAAACGCTCATAGATGCTTAAGGTCAGTTATGGCTACCCATGAGTCCAAGGCACTCATAGACACTGCAGGTACTTACAGAAGATTTAGGAGCACCCATAGACACTTACAGTGCCCATAAGTGTTCAAGAGTGCCCACAGTTGTCTAAGAGATCGAAACACCCATAAACGCCTAACGGCCATAGGCATCCATGGACCTACAAACGTCCAACTAATTTTGTCTATCATACAGTGCCATAACTTTCGAATCCCATAGACATCATTAATCTCCATTGCCCTAATGTCTTTAAATTCCCTAATCTCCAATGATACGTGCCTCCAGAACAAACTGTTGTACAAAGTTGCTACAAGTTTTACCGAAATGGTTAATGAAAGAAAGTTTGATCGTGATTCGCCAAGCATTTACAATCTAAACGATCGATAAAAAGTTGGCTCGGTATCCATTATCTTTAACGGTGGCATAAATTTCCTCCTTACTTGAGCGCGATAGCTTGAACCTGTTCCTCGGGGCTGGGTAGCTTGTGATCGACGGCATCGTCGGTCGTTGTATCTCCTAGGATCCTGGACATGCAATCCGGTGGTACAGTAACGTCCCCCAACGCCTCGGTGGATGTCCATCTTCGTAGATCCTCGATAACGGCCGGCTGGAATTATACACGTCGGAATAAAGTTAGCGGTCCTTCTTTCTAGCTGGGGCTACGTTATGGGGCGCTTAGGTGTGCTTCTGTTTCTAAGAAACTCGACGCCGCGGCGAAAAGCGACCGACGTGTTTTACGCACTACGGGCGCTGCGTGGGCATTATCGGATGTCACCTCGTGACCAAGCGGGTTTCACGCACGGAAAACGGAACGGATTGGATTACTTTGCTTCTTTTCTACGAACGCACTCGTTGCGAACAAGGTGAAAATTGGCTCTTGCTCATCTTGCGAAGATGAAACATTTATATATTTTATATGTAAAATTAGATGGGGTTAGGGGTACGTTATAGTCGAATTATGGACGCCATTTTGGAAGGCCATTGTTTAATTCCCATATTCCCTAATTCCCACATTCCCCAATTCCCACTTTCTCTAATTCTCACATTCCCCAATTCCCACATTCCCTAATTTCCACATTGTCCAATTCCACATTTCCGAATTTCACATTCGCCAATTCCCACATTCCCCAATTCCCACATTCCCCAATTCCCACATTTCCCAATTCCCACATTTCCCAATTCCCACATTTCCCAATTCCCACATTCCCAATTCCCACGTTGTCCAGTTTCCACATTCCCCAATTCTCACATTATCAAGTTTCCACATTCTCCAATTCCCACATTCCCCAATTCCCACAATTCCCAATTCCCACATTCCCCAATTCCCACATTCCCCAATTCCCACATTCCCCAATTCCCACATTCCCCAATTCCTACATTCCCAATTCCCACGTTGTCCAGTTTCCATATTCCCCAATTCCCACACTGTCCATTTCCCATATTGTCCAATTTCTACATTGTCCAGTTTCCACATTCCCTAATTCTCACATTGTCCAATTCTCACATTGTCCAATCCCCACATTGACCAATCCCCACATTGTCCCATCCTCAGATTGTCTCATCCTCAGATTGTCCCATCCTCACATTATCCCATCCTCACATTGTCCCATCCTCACATTGTCCAATTCCCACATTGTCCCATCCTCACATTGTCCCATCCTCACATTGTCCAATCCTCACATTGTCCAATCCCCACCTTGTCCAATTCCCACATTGTCCAACTCCCACATTGTCCAATCCCCACATTGTCCTCTTCCCACATTGTCCAATTCCCAAATTCCAAAACTTAATTCTAAAATTATTCACACATTTTATACCTAAAATGCCGGACTGTATATCATTGTGAAAGTCTGGCCGCCATTTTGAAACGTTTTATTTTACATTCCTACCTCGTTACATTAGCATACGAAAATCGAACAATTCTATTGTTTAAAAAACAGAACCTCGAGAAACATTCCTGGCGGCGATAAATCGCGGTGTAATGTCAGCTTTCAAATCGGCGCACCTCATCTACATTGAATTGCGATTCAATAGGAGCAATGCCTGCATTTTTAGCTAGAACGAATTCTTACACGTTGTTCTCGAACATTTTCAAAGTTATCTGGGGTCCCTAGGCTCTTGTGTTTCCATTGTTGCAAGGTGAAAAATGAAAGTTGAGGGACAACATTCTGTTTAAAGTTGGAACAACGTTTTGAAACAACGTTCCAAGAGTTGCAAACATACATAAAGTTACCGAGATAGTGAACATAAGATGTGGAAGAGTTCCAAGATCTCCGAGCGAAGTAAACTTGGCATTAACTTCCATTTCTTTTCACCGACGACGGAAGTCTTCTCTGATTTCGCTGTTTGTTTGTCAGAGTAGAAGGGCAGGAAGTGAGACTCCGAAATTCTAGCTCCGAGATCCTCGAAACGACAGGGTTGATTGACTTTCAATAATGGCCGATCGTTAATGGCTGGTGGGGTGGAGGGCCGTAATACGAGTAGCGGATTTATGACGCGAAGTAATTTAAGCGGCCGACAGAACAATCCAACGACTGCCATTTCGTGAAATCACATTAAGCGAGAGCGCTCCGGTGTGTTTCATGGGTACACTCGGGTGCGATGTACGTGGTATATGGGTCTTACGGACACTTGCAAGATTTTTAGTTATTGAAGATCTAAGTTAGAGAATCATAGATTATTTGTTTGAATCTTGATATTATTAGATGTGTAATTATGGAAGTTTATTTGTTCGACTTGAAAGTTTGTAGTTTCCCAAGGTCCTAGATTCCCAAATCCCTAGGTTTTCAAGTCCCTAGATTCCCAAATCCCAAGGGTCCCAAATCTCAAGGTTCCTAAATCCCTAGGTTCCCAAATCTCTAGATTCCCAAATTCCTAGATTTCCAAATCCCTAGATTCCCAAATCTCCAAATTCTCAAATCCCTAGGGTCCCAAATCCCTAGGTTCCTAAATCCCTAGGTTTCCAAATTTCTAAACTTCCAAATCCCTAGATTCCCAAATCTCTAGATTCCCAAATCCTTAGATTCCCAAATCCCAAGATTCCCAAATCCCTAGATCCCCAAATTTCCAAAATTCCCAAATCCCAAAATTCCCAAATCCCAAAATTCCCAAATCCCAAAATTCCCAAATCCCAAAATTCCCAAATCCCAAAATTCCCAAATCCCAAAATTCCCAAATCCCAAAATTCCCAAATCCCAAAATTCCCAAATCCCAAAATTCCCAAATCCCAAAATTCCCAAATCCCAAAATTCCCAAATCCCAAAATTCCCAAATCTCCCAAAATTCCCAAAACTCCCAAAATTCCTAAAATTCCCAAAATTCCTAAAATTCCCCAAATTCCCCAAATTCCCCAAATTCCCCAATTTCCCAAAATTCCTAAAATTCCCAAAATTCCCAAAATTCCCAAAATTCCATAAATCCCCAAATCTCAACCCAAAATAAAATTCTCCAAAAACACTAAAAATTAGCTAGTAAAAGGCATCTCGTATATCGACCCATTATATTTTTCCTAGAAGCGTGAGATTTGTTCTTGACTGTACTACACGGTCCAGTTGCACGGAAGAAATGGGGTTCCATTTCCTGCCCATGGGATTTACGAGTAACAACCATAAGTGGTCGTGCAAAGGGTACCTTTTTTCGAAACACTAGTAGATTCCTTCTCTTTATTAAAATAGAGAAATGGATGTTTTCAAAGAACTTGCCTCTACATTGATATATTTTAAAAACAGGAAGAATGGAGATTTACAAAGTGAGACGTATTGAGACTGTTTGCTTTATTATTTATTTCTGAACCCTTTTAGGAGATTAGGATAATTGATACTCGACCTTCTGGACCTCTGAGGTTTTACACAAAATGTCTGTTTAAGATAATTGAGGCTGCTGTTCAGAAAATATATTATATATCAAAATAACCATAGATGTAAACTTAGAATACAGAAGTAAATATTTCAATTTTATAAAATTAAAGTTTTTATTTCAATCCAATATTAATTATACATATTCGATTTTACAAGATTTTTTATAGCGTTAAAAATTATTTTTGAAATACGAATTCTTATGAATTCATCTTTCATATGAATTCTTCCACATAAATTCTTCTCAAATTTTTTATATGTATAATTGTTCACTAAACCAGTTTTCACTTCAACAAATAAAGTACGATAAAGTGCAGCACAAAACGAAGTAAGGTATAAAAGCACTGATAGCATCAGCAACGATAATTTTCCCAGCAAAGAAAAATCCTAAAAAGATGCAAGATCATGTACCTATGCAACAATGTAACAACACAGAAGCGGATAAAAGCGAGCAACAGCAGCAAGATCAGCAGCAGAAATACATTCCCGATAATCATCTCTAATAAGAGTAAATCACGACGAATCAGATGAGTCACAAGCAGTGGGTCACGTGTTATTAAGAGGCTGCTGCCTGAACGAAAGAACAATGCACGAGAACGATACGTATCATTATAGGGCAGTTGATGCGGTCGACAGGGACCACCGTGTAGATTTAATGTATCTTCGTAAGCTTCTCATGACATCTTCCATTGAACTTGTTTACAGAGCATGGCTGCAATTATGTACCTAACTTCGTGGACATGAACTTCGTGGTGTTCGAAATAGTACTATTTGCGAAAATATCTTGTGTGTCATGGAGTAGGTTATTTAGATTTTGAACGTACTAAATGTACTGATTTTTAGATTTCTATATTTTTAGATTTGTTAATTTGTAAATTATATTAATAAGATTTGCTAATTTATGTCGAGTTCATCGGGGAATTTGTAGATTTTTGGATAGCGAGAAAATTGGTCACCGAACCGACTATGCGGAAAACGTGTACTGATGGCAACCCATGAGTTGGCGCGCAGAGCTGACGCGTTTGGAAGAATAATGGCTACAATTTTCCAAATTTAGAGACTTCTATATTTGTGGGATTTTGTGTCCCTAGATTTCTACGTACATAAATTTCTATATTCTCAAATTTCCAAATTTCCCAATTCTCCATAATTCTAATTCCCACATTTCCCAATTCCTACATTCCCCAATTCCCAAATTCCCCAATTCCCAAATTTCCCAATTCCCAAATTCCCCAATTCCCACATTCCCCAATTTCCACATTCCCCAATTCCCACATTCCCCCATTCCCAAATTTCCCAATTCCATCATTCCCCAATTCCCACATTTCCCAATTCCCAAAGCCCCCAATTCCCAACTCCCCCAATTCCTAAATATTCCAATTCCCACATACTCCAATTCCCAAATCCCCCAATTCCCAAATTCCCCAATTCCCAAATCCCCCAATTCCCAAATCCCCCAATTCCCAAATCCCCCAATTCCCCACCCCCAATTCCCCACCCCCAAATTCTAAAGTCTCTGCATTTCCACATCACTATCTCCAGACCTGAAAATCCCTCCAAATCCCTCATCTCCAAATCCGCGCCTCACCAAATTTCAGTATCCTCCCCATATCTCCAAGTCCCGTAAATCCCTGAATCTCTATATCTACATACCGATGCCAACCCACGAGTTGGCGCCTCACACGTATTTTCAACGGAAGGCTCTCGGCGGTCATATACCAATGAGGCGAAAAACGAGAGTCAAACGTCTCTCAAGCAGTTATTATTCTTATTTATCCGTATGTAATACTAGAAGTCATGGCGCGCCACCCCATGGGTTGACGTCAGTACATTATCGGACACAAAATCACAAATTCACAAAAGATGCCACTCAAGCTTGAGTCGTAACGACATGTAGATGCAAAATGTACTTACGATTCTGGATTCTATGTCGAGGCTTTGGTCTCTCTTCTTCTTGCCAAGGACAGGCGTGCACAGGAACATATCCATGGAGCTGCCATCCCTCCTCAAGCTATCCAAACTTCTGACAGCGACTATTGCCGCAGCCTCGTATAATTCCCTCAAGGCTTTTGGTCTGGTGTTCAACGTGAACAGCGACGTCGATGGTTTGTTAACCATGTGAAAATTCTCCTTTCTTGCCGCGAATGTGCAAATATCCGACTCCGCTGTAACATAGTAAATATTGGACTTTTAGCGATCGCGGTACATTGCGGTATACCGTGTTGTTTAATTCTCTGGCTGCTAGTAATTTTATGACCGAAGGTTTTCACACGGAAGATAATTTGGGACGTGAAATAATAGTGCGCTTTGAAATATATTTTTAGGTTAGAATCAAAAGAATTGGTTCATATAGTTTGATTCCTAGTTCCAAACTTGTCTAGTATCCTGGATTTTAGTTCCCACCTTTTCAAGGGATGGCCATATAACGAGATGACATAATTATCGAGGCAGGATAAAAATATATAATCAACAGACTCTTGATGCTATTCCAGACGAAATGCGTTTCGAAGTTACGCCATTTTGTGGACACTGACGTCTTGCTACAATGATGGTTGTACACTGGCCATATAGTAAGACGACATAGTTATCGAAGTAGGGTAAAAATATATAATCAACAAACTCTTGATGCTATTCCAGACGAAATGCGTTTCGAAGTTGCGCCATTTTGTGGACACTGACGTCTTGCTACAATGATGGTTGTACACTGGCCATATAGTGAGACGACATAATTATCGAAGTAGGGTAAAAATATATAATCAACAGACTCTTGATGATCTTCCAGACGAAATGCGTTTCGAAGTTGCGCCATTTTGTGGACACTGACGTCTTGCTACAATGATGGTTGTACACTGGCCATATAGTGAGACGACATAATTATCGAAGTAGGGTAAAAATATATAATCAACAGAGTCTTGATGCTATTCCAAACGAAATGCGTTTCGAAGTTGCGCCATTTTGTGGACACTGATGTCTTGCTACAATGATGGTTGTATACTGGCCATATAGTGAGACGACATAATTATCGAAGTAAGGTAAAAATATATAATCAACGGACTATTGATGCTGTAGTGGTGATTAATCCCTACCTCCTAAATCCCCTAATCCATGCATCGCTAAACGCCGAAGTCTAATCACTATATTCATAGAAATGACTATATTTTCAAAAAATCATTATACTCGGAAGTGTATGAATTTTGCGATTAGAGTCAACCTCCCAGGGATAACTTAACCCGCGAATTTATCAAAACCCGTGAATCATCCTTTGTCGTTTCGATCCATTGGGCAAACTCGCGGCAGATTATTGTTATAAAACAATGGCCAGCCGTAAACAGCGAAGCTGTCACGATTAGTTTCGTTCCGCGTTTAATTGCCGACTCTTCGGACGTTGCAGGGATTCGTGCGTTTGAACAATGCTGAATGGGTCTTTCGTGTCACCGTGGATTGCGCCCATTATCGCGTGCTTCTTGTTCTTCTTTCGGCTTTGTTTTTGTTTTACTTTGCACAATAACACCAAGGGTTAATCGACATTGTCCCGGCACGCGATAGGGTCGTGCTCTCTTTTCATAGAAACAAGCCATTCAGTCTCACCCTCGCCTTCCCAATTCGAACGATTTTGAATTTCAGTTATCCTCGCCTACTGCTCCCTGTATTGCATACTTTACGATGATATCCGATAAACGATAATATCCTATATTACAGTTTGCGAACCTAAAAACTTCTTATAGGTTATATTCTTTATCCTGTCTTGATAATTATGTCGCCTCGTTATATGGCCCTCGTACAACCATTATAGCAAAACGCATCCACAAAATGGCGTTGTTCGAAACGCATTTCGCCTGGCGCAGCATCAAGGGTCCATCGAATCGTTCCAGAAGCCAGTTACGCAGACCCGCTGACAATGGTTAATGAAACTTGTTCTCGTATTCCGATCGTTTCACGTGTATCCCATAAAGATACGACAAGCAACTCTGCTGATTGCGTTGCGCGATTGAAATTTAATGAATGTCAGAATTGATTGCGAACATGAGGCGAAGAGTACGTGTACAACCACTGAAAACCATGTAAAGCCGGACGGCTGTCGAAGTAAATAAGTCTCGGACATTCGAAGAAGCAATTTCATTTCGATTCAATTTCGGGGCGACCTTCGTTCTTAATGTATTCATGCGTTTGAGTTTCACGGACTATAATTAGCTTTATTGTGAGATTATGCTTAATCTGTTCGTGGGAATGTGGCTTTTTATAGGTTACTTCCCATGGCGTTTATAGGTTGGGTTCAATGGCTTATGGGTTTTGTAGGTTAGGTAGCGTTTTTCACTTGTATCACTAGATTTGAGGAGGTTTCAAATTCCCTAGGTTTTTATTCTCGGTTTTCAATTCCCTAAATCCCTAGATTTCCAAATTATTAGGTTTCCAACTTTCTAATTCGACAACTCCCTAGGACTCCAAATTTCTAGATTTCCAACTCCCCAATTCCCCAAATTTCTAGATTTCCATCTTTCTAATTTCCCAACTCCCTAGGACTCCAAATTTCTAGATTTCCAACTCCCCAATTTTCCAAATTTCTAGATCCCCAAACTTCTACGTTTCCAACTTCCCAATTCCCCAAACTCCTAAGTTCCCAACTCTGCAATTCTCCAAATCCCTAGATTCCACCCTTTTAGGTTTCCAATCTCCCTAATTCCCGAAATCCCTAAATTCCCACACTCCTACATCCCTATATCCCTAGAATTAGGTTTCCAACTTTCTAATTCTACAACTCCCTAGGACTCCATACTTCTAGATTTCCAACTCCCCAATTCCCCAAATTTCTAGATTTCCATCTTTCTAATTTTCCAACTCCCTAGGACTTCAAATTTCTAGATTTCCAACTCCCCAATTCCCCAAATTTTTAGATTTCCATCTTTCTAATTTCCCAACTCCCTAGGACTCCAAACTTCTAGATTTCCAACTCCCCAATTTTCCAAATTTCTAGATCCCCAAACTTCTACGTTTCCAACTTCCCAATTCCCCAAACTCCTAAGTTCCCAACTCTGCAATTCTCCAAATCCCTAGATTCCACCCTTTTAGGTTTCCAATCTCCCTAATTCCCGAAATCCCTAAATTCCCACACTCCTACATCCCTATATCCCTAGATTCTTATACTCCTATATCCCCATATTCTCACATACCTAGATCCCCATATCTCACACTCCCTAAGTCCCTATACCAAGACCCCCATATCCTAAACCTGCCTAATCCCTATTTCCAGATCCCCATATCTCACACTCCCTAAGTCCCTATACCTAAATCCCCACATCCCAAACTCCCTAAGTCCCTATACCTAAATCCCCAAATCCAAAACTTACCATTCCCAAAATTCCCCAAATCCATCACATCAAATCCACACCATCACATCATCGTCCACATCAAATCACACCTTCAAACCTAACTCCTTACACGTCAACACTCCATCATATCAACCTAACGTTAACGATGCAGCATTGTTCCTGTCGAAGGAACATTATGCACCCGGCAGTATGGCAGATAGGGCAGACACTCGGCCACGATAAATGCGAGTGCAACTGCATTAAGCACGTCACGGTTGTTAGCGAAAGAGGGCTGAACGATCGAATTTTTTCCAGACGCCAGAAGAGAGCGAGTTACGAGTCAAGGTCGGCTGCACAGGTTGCTCGGTCATGAGAATAGAAATATGACTGGAAATACTGGTTGATATATCTGTCGGTGATAGCTGCACGTGCTGGTAGCCACACTTTCAACATACTGCTGGATAATAGACTTCCAGCTAAGCTTTGCTACTATGGCGTCCCCTGCGACCACCATTAAATTCAGGCTACTGTCATTATTAACACCGTGGAACACGTACTGATGTTCTTACGTAATATCTTGTTATCTGGATATTGCTCTATGAGAACATGCATGATTGTGTTTATGGTTTGTTAGAAATATTTTAGTTTTAGGCTTTTTGAGGTTATGATGCCGCCATTATGTACTTCGTTATAATCTTATTATATCTTTATTAATATTGCATACTATCTTATATGACATAGTATCATACTATTGTAACTAGAAATTACATTGTGTCATATTATTATTATTTTACAATAATTATTATATAGTACATTATTATTATTATGACCTTGAAATCATACAAGGTAGGAAAACATTGTTGCAATACTTTTATTGTGACTAGAAATTACATTGTGTCACATTATTATGTTACATTTATTATTACTGTGATCTTGAAATTATGCAACGTATAAAAAAATTGTTCGAATATTATTTAAGTTGGGCAGCATTCGTTTCATGCAATATACAGTAGTGAAACATTCATCAATCAATTTGTAGCGTCAATCAAAGGGGATCAGCAGTTTGCCCTTTGTCCCGGAATTCAAGGGCAGAACCGCAGTGCGTCGAAGGAAAAGCGACGAACCGATGAACGAACGAGAAAATAAAGGCAAAATGACCGCGAAGAAGTGGAAGGTAGATTTCCGATGGTGAAGAGCCGGTTGGCCTGTGGGAGGTCCAGCGCGGCCGAGGCTATGCAAAGTGGCCCGAAGGACCGCTTTGCTTGAACCGTTCGAATCAAGATATCAGAAAACGCGTAATTCACGGTTGCTGCATTCTCGATGCATGAACTTGCTCTCTGATATTTTATCTAATATTTCGGATGTTCTCGCGTAACCGAGTTTTAGTTTCTGTAACATCAAATTTCTAAATTCACAAATTCCCAATTTACAAATTTACAAAATTCCAATTTTATAAATTCTTCAATTCCTACATTCCTCAATTACTACATTCTCTAATTCCCACATTCCCTAATTCATACGTTCCCCAATTCCTAATTGTCCAATTCTCACATTCCCCAATTCCCACATTCCCCAATTCCACATTCCCCAATTCCCACGTTCCCCAATTCCACATTCCCCAATTCCCACATTTCCCAGTTCCACATTCCCCAATTCCACATTCCCCAATTCCACATTCCCCAATTCCCACATTTCCCAATTCCCGAATCCTCCAATTCCCACATTCCCCAATTCCCACATATCCCAATTCCCAAATCCCCCAATTCCCACATTTCCCAATTCCCATATTTCCAATTTCCAAATCCCCCAGTTTCCAAACCCCCTAATTCCCAAATCTCCTAATTCCCAAATCCCCCAAT